AAAGTGTTTAATATACAGGTTTGTGGCTCTTAATTTCCTATTAATTAACCATTTGTAATCTTATGTTCACTGTTCATTTTTTATAAATATAGGATTTGTATTAAATCTATATTCATTCATATAGTCAAATCGAATCGAGAATTGAAATCAAAAATCGAATCGAAATCGAATATCGAATAGAAAATCAAAATCGAATAGAAAATCGAAATCGAATAGAAAATCGAAATCGAATCGAATTGAGAGCTTGAAAATCGAAATCGAATTGGAACATCTGAATCGATACCCAGCCCTATTCATTTGTATAATTCCCTAAGCGCTCTTTTAAAACCTCCCAGCTTTTCCGCCCTGTTTTCACTCAAAACGAAACTACTCTGCGTGCTGTGCGCACGTGAGACTGTTACTTAAAACTGTGCTTTATGCTGGACAGTATTTATTTATCGCGAGTTGTTCAAATCGTGGTAATCTAATACGGTTTTAATGATAATTAAAAGATGAAACGGTAATACTAACCATGGGGAATTTTATCATGATTTATCATCAAACCGGTAATCGTTACATCCCTACTCTGAACTACACTAGACTCGTACACAGACCAAAATACATCTGTAAATAAATCAGTAACTATGGCATTACTGATTGTCCCCGCAAAGAGTATGAAGTGATACATTTCTTGAGAAGAGCTGTCCAAGCGTCTGGCAGGAGCGTGCTTTCACAATCTACCCCCACGTTCACAATGCTGGAATCAATGTGTGAGGTCACTCCATTGAGACGCCTCAGAGGCAGACCGAGGGAAACATAGTGAGATCACTGGCCAAAACTAGAGCCTTCCAAAGGAGCAAGCTGCAGCACATGGGGCACGAATAGCCCTCAACAATGCATAACACATTCCACCATACAGTTGTCAGATTAAAGAGTTAACAGCAGAGAAAATTACAAGCTAATGACAATTCTACTAACTGTCGACTAACCTGTCATCTTTAATGGAGAAGGATGTTTAAGACAGACAATCAAACGAAAGCTGTTGGACTTAAATAAACTGCATTGGGCAAAGACATCATTTAAAGGCCACTAAATAGTAAGTTGACTGTCAAAAGTGCAGGTTGATTTACCCAAAAAGCACAAACTCTGTCGCACTATGAAAAATGGCTCTGCTTGAGCATCGCTTGGTATGTCCAACCAATGGCAGACGTGGGAACAGTTAGGAAACCTACCTGAAGATTTTTCACATTTGTGCAATTCCATTATTTCAAGCTAACACACTTCAGAATCCTGACCTAAACAACCTATATATTAGGGCTGAACGATTTTGGAAAATAATCTAATTGTGATTTTTTTTTTTTACCAATATTGTGATTGCGATTTAATATGCAATTATTTTTTAAAGCTCTTTATGTTCTGTATTATTCAACAAAGACAAGCTATAAATCATTGTATACTATTACCAACACAATATTAGATAGATTAAACATAAATGTTCTTTTCTGTAGGCCAGGCCTATATGTTACAATGAAATTAGATGATGCATGAATTGATATGAATGACATTTTTATTTAACAACTACAATCACAGTATATTGACTGATTTGTTGAACTTCCAACCTTGTAAGCATGAAATAATTATGACAACATAAAGCACT